TGCCAGTTGCATTTTGCCCATTAATGCAAATATGTAATTTGTACAGAAGATGATGTAGATGATGACTGGCAAACTGCACTGTATACTTTGAAAAACTGAAAAATTCACTTCAGAACTGTGAAACTAGTTTAGTTCACATTCAAATGCAAAGAAAATAAATTCCTCTCCCATCCCTAGAAGGGGCATCATTTGGTGAATTTTCTCCAAATTCCTGAGGAAAGGTCTCGTGATGGAAGAAACAGTTTTAAGAAACAGTTTGAGTAGGTCTGGTTCTGTAGAGAGTAAGGAAGATAACCTTGACAGAGATATGCATTTTTTAAAGTTTAGAGCAATGAGATAACATTCAGAAGCAGCTCAGACAGACACCTCCCTAATTCATTGAACTCTAAGAAAGGAGGAGGAGGTACAATATAATCAGACTTGCAGTATTTGATTATTATAGCCAATCTCAATAAAAGTCATTTTACTCTTTTTGTGGAGTTGATTTCCTGGTCTGGTCTACCTAGTGGGACTGACAGATTCCACAAATATTACAAAAAGTCAAGATAGTTAGTGCCAAACATTTGCAAGCAGCCATGAGAAAAGGTAGGAACTTCCAGGGAGAGGGGCGGTTCCCATGGCCTGTGCTGGCAGATGAATGTTGAGTCTGGGCCTGGATTACATTTCGGGGGATCAGGTGACTCTGGCTATGCGGTCATCCTCATGAGTGCCAGCACCATGACTTATACTCTACACCTTGAGGTTGCTGAGGGTGTGGGCCCTTGGGATCTTGAGACAGGAAGGCAGCCTAGCTGAAACTACATAGCATACATTTGAAGTTCAGGAAACTCATGTGACTTTATAGGCTACAGTATCTGTCTATATACTACTAAAACTCTTGTACCTTCAGCTGGGCGAAACAGGGCAACAATTTTTGAACCAAGATACCTCAAATGGGCTAACTTACAGAATGCGTCCAAAATCCAGGACCCACGTCTCCCACAGGATTGAATTTGGGAAATTTGTGGCTGCTTCAGCACTGCTGTGGTCAGCCCAGGTCACGTGACCATCATGGGCATATCCCCAACCTCTTTCCCTCTGTCCCCTGCACCCAATCAGCTGGTGGCAAGGGCCAACAGGCGAGCGGCGATTGGCTGCTTTGGAAACGAGGCAGAAATTTGAAATCTCTTAACAGTGGTGGGTGTTGAGGGAAGGATGAGGGAGCGACGTGGAAGCCTACTGGTGAGGTAGGGCTGGCTGGTAGGCACTGGCAGTCAACAGGTAAGCCCTCTTCCTCCCTCAAGGGAGGGGGCCCTTGGAACCACACCAAAATGGGGAGTGAAGGTGCAGTTTTCCTCACGGTCTGTGGCTCTGTTTGTTCCACCTGCCCCCAACAAAGTGGCAGGCAGTTCCGCAGGTCAGCCAAGGAAGAGGAGGAGGCTTCACTGGGGCTCTCCTGTGGGTCGTGAGGCTCAAATGGTGCAAGTCCATATTATACATGGAAAGGAAGGAAGGGAGGGATGGAGGGAGGGAGGGAGATTTCTGACACTCCTGCCAGCTTCCCAGAAGCAAAGTCAATGGAGAAGCTGGCAGTAAGTCACCCCACTTCACCCATAGTCATTCTGTTTCTCTGTTTAGGTAAGGAAATATCTCTGAAAAGAAGAGCGACGGGTCACGGGTTGTCTAGTCATTTGCTAACATCTTTTGATTTTAGAAAAGTAAGCCTTAAGCAATTTTATGTTTGTACCCAGGTTCTTCTTACCTGTTGTGTTAACAGATACTATGGAAGCCTCAGTTTTGATCTTCTCATATTCTGATTGCCCCTTTGAGGCTCATCAGTAAGGATGAATGGAAATTATTTTGGGAAATCTTTCCAACCTACATATTTCATTATGTTCTGTAGATTCTTTCAGTCTGCAAATTAATAAACAAAGAAAATAAATAGATACATTTGTAGGAAATAAAGCTCATTATTAATCATATGTTCATTCCTTTCCTCATCCAGGTTTGATTGCCAGTAGCACTCATCTGTTTTCTTGAGCTGTCAATGTCTCTTGATGCTACAAGGCCTCCTTTTTTAAAGAGAGAGATCCTCATAGGAAGCCACTTTTACACAAAAGTCCAGTCAAGCCTGGATGATAGAAGACATCACAGGTCCTTCTGTCACTAAATGACGAGTTCCTTTTCTTGGGATAAATTACACCGTGCCTATTTTTGTATACCTATTCTCCGCTACCTGGAGTATTTTTTATGCCCCATATTATATCTGAAGAACAGCTGACCCCTTGGCAGTCTTGCTGTGGGAGCTTCTAGGTTCCATTTTATCACCAATATCCCTATAATGTCTATGGATGTGGCCAATGGGAGGACTGGAGAGAGGTATCACCAAATGCTATAATGATCCCATTTTCTGTATTGCCTGAATTAGAGGAGACTGTGTGATTTATCCCAATGCACTGGACTAAACAAGGGTTAAAGATCTTGATAAGAGGGAAGCAAAGTAGATGCTTGACTTCAAAATACAAGAACTAAGGGATTTACCTGCTCTCAATTAGCCATGCTCCCCCAAAAGGAACAGATTTGCAGTTTGGGGATGCTCCTGGATCCTTCAACATTGTCTGTTACCAGCTTAGGCCTAAATGCAATTGCCTCATTCCTGAACGGGGATAACATAGCCAATTCAGGCACTGGAAACACAAAATGAGATGGCTTTAATGTACTTTATGAGGTACTGCTCTTACAACTGATTTAGAAACCATGGTGAATGAAAAATTCAGCAGCCAGACTAGTGGCTGTGATGCTATGCTGAACATACATTGCACCTGCGCTAGGCAATCTGCAGTGGCTGTCCGTCAGCGACTGAGCCAGATTCAAGCTGTTGGCATTACTGTATAGATCCCTAAAACTCGGGATGGCCTTTTCCACATCAGCAGCTATCCTGTGAAATTATCTTCCCTTTGTGGTATGTCAGCCCTAGCATCGATATCTTTTAGGCCTCTTTTAAATCTTACATTTTTAGGTTGGCCTATCTGGTCCATTACTTCTGCTTAAAAATTGTTTTTGTTTTCATGTTGATTTTATTCTGGTTTTTAATTCATTTTCATTTTATTTTCAAGGCCTTGATAGGCAGTATGAAACAAGCAAACAAATAAATACCCATGCATAACTTTTCTAGCTAATATCTGAGATGCCTTATTGACCAACTGGCCCATTGCTACATTTGTGTAATTGCCTAACTAACTAGTAGGGCTGTGTAAATCATCAACTGGGTGCTTTGCTTTGATGCAGGCTCAGGTGAAGCACTCCCTGAAGCTGTTTTGCAAAGCAACCTGGCCCCCACAGGAAGCCACAGAAGTGGCCACAAGGCTCTTGCTTGCTCTGACCTGAATCCATCCCTCAGCCTCTACCAGTGCTTGCAAAAGCCGAGAGGTTTCTACTCAGCAGTGCTCTCCCCTTAGAAGCTCTGGCGCTGGCATAAGTTGGAAAAAGTGTCACTAAAGTAATGCTGGGGTTGTGTAGTGTTGGAGGCCCCAGGCTATGGATGGCTCAGTTTAGAACTAAGCCCAGAGGGACAAGAGACTGGAGACAACTTGGACAGAAATTGCTTCTGCTGGAAGTCTTATGAATCCACCACTCCTTGCAATGAACTCATTCTTTATTTTTTAAAGGATTTTTCCCTTTCTTTCAAAACGAGGAGGCAGAAAAAGAGGCAGAGGAATAACAGAAAAGAAACGAGGCACCCAGAAGAGTTGTTCCATGTTGTTTGAAGACTTTTAACTTCTACACTAGTAAAAGGGGAATTGGAGACCACAGAGAATTAGGAATGAGAAGTCCAGACAGCTCATCATGGATGCAAGACATCCCCCTGCAAAGACTAGCTGCCCCCAGTGCTTGTTCCATGCTGCAAACAGGGGCCCTATCACCAGTTCTGAGGTATACAGAATCTAAACACCAATCACGATTTGCTACACAGATAAAACAAATGATCCTCCAGGGACTGCTGATCAAGCTGCAAAGCTCCCTATGTTTGGAAACTGATTGAGCTCATCACAGGCACATTGGGTAGAAAGCTTAGGCATGGAAGATCATGTTATGCAGTACTAGGTTGGGTTAGAACAGTCTGTATCATGGATTCCCTGGGAAAGCTAAATATGATTCTGCAGACAGTGCTTCTATTCACCACGAGAGGAGAACCTTCAGTACTGTGGTTTCACAGGACACCAAGATACCTAGAGGCATCTCCCATTGTAGCTACTAAAAGTTGGGGATTTATAGCTGTCCATCTCTGATGTAACAAAGTCGAAGGATCATTGGCAGCTATCAAAGCTCCATCCTTCCTCCTTTTCCTGCCTATGGCTTTTCACCCACACAGCCTTCCTCCACTTCCCCTCCCCTCTGGTTCCCTTACTGGAGTTCATTGCAGTTCCTGGTTAATTGCAATGAACTCTACTTATACAAAACCATAAAGGAAACTCATATGACAGTATAAACAATGACAAGAAAGTTGTGGTTTAACCTCTTGTGCTCTACTTGTATTAGACATATAAAATGTATTATCCCTAATATACTTGAGAGAGGGGAACTCTACACAATTACATGATAAGACCAGGTCAGGCAGGGGTAGAAATCATATTATGAGCAGTAGCCATCTCTATGAACTTAAAAACAGTCTTGCTGGACCAGGCGATGGCCCATCTTAATCCTGTATTTTTGTTTCTTACAGTGGCAAACAGATGTTTCTGAGAAACTTGCATGCGGGAGCTATCCACAAGTCACTTTTCTTGATTATACATTTAGTTAGTTCATGCATGTATACAAACAGTAAATGCAAGACTAATTACTAGCAACAGCTGCTGTGTGAAGGGGCTATATCAATTAGGGCTGTGCCTGGTTTGAAAATGATTTGGAAGAAGTGTTTTAGACCACATGGGAATCTCACAGAACCTTTCTGCTATCCACTAAAGCAGTCCAGCTCTTCTCAAGCTTCTGCACAAAGACACTGGTCTAAGAAAAAAATCTTAATGTATATATAGGTTGGTCAATATTATTTATCTCTTGATCATGTAGAAGTTGGAGGCATATGAATGGGACAGAAATAAGAGAACACCTATGTTGAATTTAGAATTCTGAGGATGAGTGATAGAGTTGAGACCATTCTTCACAAATTGGCTTCCCCCAGGGCTGTAGAAGAGTGTCTGGATGTATCTTGTTTCTAAGCTGCATGTAATAAGACACCATGCGTGACAGCCAGCCATTTTAAAGCTTAGGAGGGCTTATAGTTAAGAATACACAAGAGGATACATAAAAGCCAGATCCCTTTATCCACATTATTGCAAAAAAAGAAAAAGAAGCATAGATGCTATCCAGGAACAATTGTCACAAAGTCCACCTGGCAGTTCATTTCTATCTTTGGCCAGCCATGTTCTCTGTCAGTCCAAATTCCCTCACCAGAGTGGTGGTTGTGGGAAAAATTGAGGTCCTGAAGGACAGGCAAGATATAAATCCAACAAATACATCAATAAAGTTTGTTTGTTTTACAATATTTGTAAACAGCCCCACTCAAAATAGATTGTACTCTCTCTTCAGTGAATACAAATGTCCTTCTCAAAACGGCCAAGTTCTTCTTGTCATCTCAGAGTTGAGTTAAGGATTCCTTTCTAGATACACTCACAGAAAACTAAACAGATGCTAAAAATATTACACCAGGATTGGGAAATGTGGGTTTCATTCTGGAGTTTCATTCTGGAGAATTGTGTGGCAATTCTTCTGAAGGTTGTACAGAAGAAAAGAACGGGTGGTATGCCCTGCCACTGAGCCCATCTAATAGCAGAGTGTGAAACAAAGACTCTTTCTTTTGACCCACATAATCATTATGACAAATATGCCCAAAGTACACCTGGTTAGAGAATCCTCATGCTGCAACTGAAAAGTTAACCATAACTCACAAACAAGAAAGTAGGGCTGTGCATCATTTGGGATCTGGAGGAAAAACAGTGCTTTGAAGTGTGCATCTCCTTAATAGAACTGCCTCCCCCCCCCACCCCCCCAGGATTGTCTGTTCTCTGCAGCACCCACACAATCTTGGGAGAAGACCCTATTGATTTAAGGAGTTGCCAACAGGTGCTTTGTATCCCCCAAACAGGCTTCAGAGCAGCCTTTTCCCTTTAAATCTAACACATTATGCAACCCAACTGGAAAGGCCTTAATCGAGGTGACCCTAATCACCATTTCATATAACAGTGGACTCAGAAGTTTGCATTAGGAAATGTGTTTCCTGAAGAAGTCCTTACTGTATCCAGTTTCATTTCCTGCCCAATACAGTATTTATTTATTTGCATACGCTACCCATACCCAAGTTGGATATCTCTAGAAAGCTGACAGATATCCAGAAAGATTACAATTTAGTTTTCATACCATTAGAATTTCTCAAAAGACATTTTTAAAAATCTCTTTTTAAAAGCATGGCTTTTTAAAGAAAAAAAATGTCCTTTGAACTGATCTCAACTGCTGGTGGTTTCATAGACAGGTTGGAAAGAAAAGTACATAGACAATATTGAACTGCTTTACCATGGCCTTCTTTCCTAAGACAATTCCTTTAATTCTCTCCTAGACTGTAACAAAGAAGAAATGAAGCTCAGCTGTAACTTTCCATAGCCTAGACCCTGTCACAGAAAAAAATTATCATAGCCAGGCCTGTTATCTAAATTGGGCAAAAACCAAATTTTGATGATAAAAATGGCTGGTTCTTCCTACTGTTATTGGTGAAACAATTTTAGCACCTTTCTTAGGAGCCCTTTCTTTCTTTCACCCAAATTTTTTGTAGCACAAACGCCTCCTGCTTCCTGCAAGGGTCCCAGTTTAAAACCAACTCACTCCAATCTCCTAGTCTGGCCTAAAGAGGTCCCAAAGAAACA